ATAAGATGATGAAAGGTTATTGCCCCCCTCCCCCCCCCTCCCCCGTTCACACAAGTTCTATTGACTTGTTCGAGGGCTCAGACAGACAGACACGAATTTTCCGTCATATCACAGAGGATTGGGTTTAACAGCTTGTAGACATTGAATGGCAATTACTGTCAGTCTTTGCCTTGGCCGCTATACTATGCTTGATAACAAATTAACACATGAAGCCAAAGTTTAACACACTACATGTGTTCATTTTTTAAATTATTCAAAATATTCAGCACCATGCCAGTACTTACTGTTGTCGTCAAACATTGTTAGGAGGTGGAAATATTCGCCCCGAGTCATGATACCATTGCCGTTTCTGTCCACCAAATTGAACAGTTGCTGTATTCTAATCGTTACTTGAGTCCTGTGAAATGGAGAATTGTTCTTCAAAAGATCTATCGCAAACACGCTGTTACACTGGGCTTGCAATCGCTTGGAGAACAAATTTTCGCCCACTTCAAAGTTGGAGGGTAAAACAATATTCATGGTCAATAATAATCTTGATATAGCAGTCATGTTCTGTTGCCGTGCAGGTCCAGGGCCTAATTTCATACAAATTAAGTGTACACTTCAAAGAAAAAAATCAGTCGCGAGGGATAGACTAGCACAAATACAGGTTGTGGGGTGGGGGACGAGGCAAAAGTTGCACATCAAATTTTTACTGGTAATTACCATAAACAACAACTGGACAAATGAAAACTGGACTTTATGGAGACTAAACCATGCACAGGGTCGGTTTATTATTATTATTTTTATTATTTTCTTTCAATCTTATACTACATAAAGAAAGGCGCTCTTCATAGCATGCATATCTTCTATAAAAATTCTATTAAAAAATTCATAGGCTCCAAATATGTACTTACGAGGTAGTAGCCAAAGACCCAGTGATCTGAAATGACAGGAGAATCCATCTCAATTTTGATATACATGTACATGGTATTTAGATATTTTCAACTTTCTTTCACCAAATTGTGCAATAAGGATGACATTTTATCCTTGCAAATTCTGGAGAATTGGAAACCATTATCAATTATAGAAATTTGACTACTTTTAAGGTTTCCAATTTCTGCAGAATTTGCAAGGGTAAAAAGGTCATTCTTGTGGAACAAATTGGTAAAAGAAAGTTGGAAATTTCTTAATTGCATTGAAATTGAGATGAAAAAAGAAGTCGTTTTTATTGACCGCCCTGTAAAAGAGTATGGTTGAATGGTTAAATGGCATTTGTTGAGAATTAGAAATAATTATTAAGTAGTCTTGAGCGGTTTTATAGATCATAATTTTCTGGTGGGGGGTCGGAAAGGTAATTAAACTGTGCTAGGATGATAAAGGCAACTGTGGGTTCAACAAATGGCGTTAACAGTTCTTTTTTCACCGTGGCTAACATATCATAACATGGCGTTATCAGAATGATGTAAGCAACCGTATACAGACACCCTACAAATAGCGAATCACATGCCTGTACAACCGTGCCCAAATTGTCAACAAACGTTAGCCCCTGTTAAAACTTGTTACTACAGCTTGGAGAACAGTGATTCTTCTTCCTCGGAAAATCTACACTGCATTTATGTCAAGATAATTTTACCTCGTTCCATTTGGCTCTAAACTCGGCCTTAGAAACTTCGCCGCTTCCTAGATAGAAAAAAATACCACTGTGTTAAAATAAAGAAGTAAAAAAATAATACATAAACATGGCATGTATTGAGGTTCATTTTATGGCTGGTAGCGGAGAAAAAATGAATTTAACTAAATAACCTCCAGCAGGGAGGCAACTGTTGTGCCTCCTTTCGACTACAGTTATGGCGTGGGCGCCGTTGGAGGCTCAAGGAAGCCACAGTGGCCGCTCGAAGTTCTACAGGAAAAGTCTTCATTTTTCGCTCACGTTGATTTTACACAGAGATGGAATTTCTGGCTTGGCAACTGAGCACGCTGGTCTTATTTTTGGTCGCACAAAGAGGCACACGGCTGTCACAAAGGTCGCACCTTTTTGTAAAGGGGGATCTGAGCAGGCGGACAGATTGACAACAACTAAGTTATGTCGAAAAGAAGATAATAAAGCAGCAATGGTAATATAATATAGCAACATTTTCTTGCAAGGTATATAGCTGGGCATGCTCGTATACAATACGTTTAACCATTATTTTTATAACTGTTGTTCTTGTTGTTGTTATCCAGTCCTATTATCAAATCTCGTATTCCAAAATGATGTAATTTTAATTTTCCATAACTGAACTTACCATCAGCATCAAAAGCGACAAAGACCGCGTCCACGTCAGTGGGCGTAATTGCACCGTTCGCGTCGCCACCCGCAGCGTCAGTCAGGTCGAAGAGTGCCTTCGCAGCTTCTGGGGAGGACCCTGTCTTGGTAACCCAATTGGTGACAAACTCATTCTCCGACACACTGCCATCATCTGGAACAAATATAAAGGTTAGCAAATTTGCAAAGGGCATTTCATGGAGAAAGGTACGCCAAAGGTCAAATTCACGGCCACAAGATTGACAGTGTATGATTTCCTATCCACGTTTAATATTAACTATGGGTATACATGTATCTCTGCTAATTTTGGAGTAATTCACATTTAATTTGGGGACCTTAACACCATCGTGCATTGGGTTGTAATTTTTGAAATAGAGCACAGAATAGTACAGAAAACAAAAAAGGCCAAAGTGTCCAGTTTTGTGCTTGACAAGCTCTACAAAATGAAACAAACAAGTAACAGTTCTTGAGTAAGAGAGAGTTTTCCATTTTGGCATTTAATGACCGCTTCCACCGTGGAAATGCACCGATGGACCATAATTTCATGAAGATAAAAGGAGACCCCAAGTGTAACTTCTCACCATAATAAAAAAGCATAGGTCTATTTAGTTTCTAAAAATCGACACAAATATATTTTTCATAGGCCTAAATAATTATTTTTCTGCAAAATATTGGCCCATTCGACCTTAAAATATAGGTCAAAGGTAAAATCTAAGGTCACATTTGAAATCTCCACAAATAACTTTCGGTCAGACTTCTATAGTAACTTGAATTTCCCATAGTCCCAAATCAAGGGGTTCAAGATTATATGTGACCTAATTTCAAGAGATGAGAACACAGGTCCCTGTTGTCTAGAAAGAAATGCGGTAACGGTGACTTGTATCCGCCGACATGACGCTGAGCCAGCGGAGCTCACGGAGCCGGTGTAACGTGACAGAGAGTCCCCCCTAATATAGCGTCCGCTTCCCAATGATTTGCAATTGTACAGGCAAGCCTCGCCTTAGATTTTGACCCACTTAGGTCAGGCTAGCCCTAACCATTATAACTAAATGGAGGGCGAACTTTCTGGTACACGGACCCTCAGTTGCGTTAAACGGGACAAAACGGGTCGGAACTGACAAACTGAGGCCGATCTCTCTTCGAAATAATACTTGTAAAATCATTTCTTCATGTTTTGTTTGATTTTAACGGCAACGTGCTTTCAATTGAAAAAATCACGGATGCATATAAGATACACTTCCCGTTACTTAGAAGGAGCAGGTATTCCAAGACCATATTGAAAATGAAGAGAACTGGTGAAAGGTTCGCTGCTCATGTATTGAATCTTTACCATGATTTTGGACTTTGTTATTTCAACAGGAAATGCTGTTGTGCAGAGAGACAGAAACAACTGCCTACCGTCGTCATCAAATGAAAGGAATACGGCCATCAGTTCGGCCTTTTGGATGGAGTCGTCCTTGTTGGCATCCACCAAGCTAAACAGCTGGTCGATCCTGTCCTGGCAAAGAGCAAACCTGAAGATAAAAAAGAATATATACTACTCAGTATGAAATTAATCTACGAAAGGTTAAGCTAAACGCAGGCGTGGACATAGCTTCTCCTATTTCAACGTATCTTTGAGCATATCAAACTGATTTTTCAAAACAATGCACATAAGTTAAACCAAGAAAAATCAGAAAAAAATAATAACCTACCCTATAAGACCTAAAAATACCAAAAACTTCATGTTTCTGTATTTACTGAAATGAAACATATATGATTTACATATTATAAAATATACGTGCAAATTCGGTTTTGAAATGAAAGTATCCTACATATCTTTATTTATATCATGCATTAATACATAATTATATTAACAATATGTGAATGCAAAATATACCTGGTGTCAAGAAAAACGCTCCGATTTTAATTTTTCACATTGTATATAGAATATTATTTAGCAAAATCTAATGCATTACATCTTAATGATATTGGCACTTGGTCATAAAAGATTCGTCTTATTAGCTTTCGTAAAGCCTATGTAGCGACCAGTACAAAAGTACTTCGTGCCGAAGTAAAGGGTTACGATCGGTCCGGAAAACCCTACAACAAGAAACTTTGATAAACACACATGCAACTGAATGTACAGATTCCACAATGCAAGCACTCTAATTTAAATTCAACTTCCCGCGTCCAAGAAAAAACTTCATAAAAAATCATAAATCACTTACTTGGATCCTGCACCAATTTCGAACGATACAAAAACTAAGTCAACTGACCCATTTACCTAGGACACAAGCTTTTATATAACAGATCGTGGTCTGGAGTCATTACGTGTCACGCCTTATGCAAATTATCTTCACACTTTACTGTGACGCTCTCACGGTCGAAAAGTAGTCTCAAGGACGATGAACAGACGAAGCTGAACCTAGGGATGTGGGCAATTGCACATCACGACCGTGGTACCATGCGATAATAGCTTTTTATTGGCATATATTGGTTTGAGTTCTGATTGTTAAAGGATGAATGTTAATTGCACTCATTCCATGTCTGTAAGCCCCTTTTGTTTCACCTATTGGTTTTCGATAACACCAACCCTCTTTAGAGCCGTATTTGGCAACCATGTTTTATTTATTTATTTATTTATTTATTTATTTATTTATTTATTTTCAGTTCGCTTGACCAATATCACGCTAATCAGACAAAAAAATTATGATGAGAGAGGTCCTGTGGAAATACAGAGGGACTGGGGGCGGGGCTGTGCCTGGAGTGAATGATTCTATTTTTTTTTTTTTTTTTTTTTTTTTTGAAATGTTATATATAAAAATATAATTCCAAATATTAAATTGAAGATACTTGATTTGAGATCTATTCTGTCGTGTTCATTAAGTTTTTGGAATGAAGATGAATTGAGTTTTCCCTTGTAGATTATGGCAAGATGTCATTTATTCTAAAAAGTTAAATCGACAAATCATTATATAGTGTTGATTTAGTTTCGGGAATGACCATTAATAATGACTTCAATATTTGGGCATGATTGGGCGGGCACATGTATTTTTTCATTAGAGAGTACCCAATTTAAAATAATTTGGATGATCATTTCTTATATAAACCTGACTCTTCATCTTTGTATGTCTGTACAGCACTCACATTAAAGTCGTCACACTAAACAATTTTAAACGTGATTTAACTCATGCCATATGCATAGACCACAGAACGACGGTCTATATTCAAATGCTATTGATGAGTGCCACTGTGCACATGAAACGTGTCTCTGAGTAAATTCGCCCAATTGACAGATGTTTCCCTTCTTAATCGATAGTATTAGGATAGGCTTCAGGTGACTGAAGATTGACCTTAAAGACACGAGGAGATTTAACCACGCTTGTACGTGACTGTAAAACGCCCCCCTTTTTACGTACATAACCCATAAACCCCTTATCAGATGTCTGCTACATGTGAATAATTTCTAGGACGAATGTTGACCACCCACACGTTCGTCTTAATCCTTAAAACGAAAAATACAGATAACAACTTTCAAAGAAGAAATGGAGATTGGTGGACCGTAAGGTTATATTCATAAGCTAAGCAAACAGCTCGATGACTTTTGACAACTTTTTCGGCGAATTTTCTTTGGTTTGGCATTATTTTAAGAAAATTAAATGTTCACAGAAAATACGAATTTGGGACATTTGCAAATGCGCACAAAGGTTATATGATAAAATGCCAAAACCAGGTGCAAACGTCTGTTCGGGGTGTACATGTAGTCATACACATACAGCTGTATGCTAAATTAAATACTATAATCTAAGTGGAATAGCTGTATGTTAAAATAAATATTATAGTCTACGGGAATTAGAAAATAAATCTAATATTTTCCCACTCAGCACGGTTAGAACGCTCTAGACCGGTTTGCGGGTAAGGGGAAGCTCTAAGCTACTGAACAAGCTGTGCTGACAGGCTCTCGTAGTGGCGTAGGTTGATCTTAGCCAGAGATTCATCAATGGTGTAATAATAAATAATAATAATAAAATAAAAACGATGCTAATTGTTATAACATAATGAAATGAATGGATGAATTTACGAAAATATCTAAAAGAAACATTTGTAGCACTCTTTTTATTTGTACTTTGTTAATTAAGAAAAAAGTTTTCGAATCCGACCCTTTGCGCTTGTGTCGGTCGACGCTACCACTAGCATGCATCAACTCTTAAATAAAATGAACTTCACGTTTAATTAGACGTTTGGGAAGTATTTTTTGGCAAAAATAATAATTGTCACAATTTTTCTATAATTTTATTCACTTTCCACTCCCCTTTGTTGTATTAGTAGAATACAAATATCTTGCACCATAGCGTATTCAAATTATTTAATCACGTGTGCAGCACACTGTAAAAAGGTACTTAATACCCCCGTCATATTTCCTTATTCTTCTTGATAAGCAACAACGGGTGGGCGTTAAGAGAGAACTTAAGCACAAAAACTGAGAGAGCATTATGAGTACCTTAGTATTTTAACAGATTTTGAGTATGAGGCGTATTCACAGTATTTACTGTATTTAATAAACTCTGTGTACATTTGTGTGCCTTTTACTTTGCACTAGTCACAAATCTTTGTTGCCATGTCCCACAATGGAAAATAAACTACTACTGCTAATACTACTTCTACCACTACTCTCCATATTAGCAACAAGTCTCCACCTTCATATCTGAGCGTTTTTAACTTAAAAGTTATCTATACCCATCCAGTCCGAGTCCTTAAAATTCCAGTCTCAGAAATATATCCACGGTGTGCCAGTAAGGGCACCTGCCCTGGGTATCACCTGAAGGGGGCACCACTGAATAGTTTTTTATGAACACTTAAGCACCTTATGTTCCCATATGGGAACATCCTAAAAGCAATTTCAGTGCTTGCCGATGTCACTTTTTGCTCTAAACATGCCCCCGTGCCTTCACCAAACCTTCTGAAGCCACGACATTTGTCCATTTCTGTCACGACGTAGGGGAGTCCATGGCTGGAGGGGCACCCATAGGAGGCATCACTATAGACTTCAGTTTGGAATTTAGTTCTGCCACTGTGGCATCTTGCTTCTCCAGCACCTTGATGGTCTGAGCAAATCTTATAATACCTGTGAAATATAAATGTGTAAATCTTTTTTTAATTAAAAATAGTTTTGCAATTTACTTACTGATATGATAATCCATGAAATTACAACAGGTCCCATATTTTTAATGAAGTTAAAAGGTTTCAACAGCTTGAAATCATAAATTAATCATCTAACTGATTTATTTCAATAGCACAAGCACTGACGTTACCTGCTGTTATGCATCAATTACTTAAACCCCATTTACACTGGATGGTGTCCTTTCTGCATCACTGTGGTCATAGAAAGGAGGCACAAGCATCACTATGGTTGCAAAATGAATGCTCAATGATCGGCCAGTTGTTTTTTTTTTTTTCTTCTTCTTACACACTATACTATGTAACACAGAAAGGACACAGTCCAGTGTACGGGGACTTTACCTAGTATATGTAATGCCAAAAACTGAGGACAAGGCCAACTTACCGTCTCCATCCCCCGGAAAGCCATATCTCTGTATAACATCCATTTGGATCTGAGTGGCAACTGGGAACACCATCTGCATCACCTTCATCATGTCATTGCCTGCATTGTCCCTCGCCTCCTCCATTCGGACCTGATTCTCAGGAATGTTGAAGGTTTCTAGAATGTCCCTTAGAACAACTGAAAATGAAAAGAGATTTCTGGTAACTGAGGTTTTAAATTCCAAAGAAACACGATGGAATTGTTAGCCTGGAGCTAAGTCTAATTTTTTTTTCCAAAAGCCCCCAAATACCACCAAGTTTAGTACACTCATTCTGCGGTAGTGATCCCGTGATTTGCCCAACATGCTACTGTATATATAGATCACCAAGAGCCAGTGTCCACTAGTGGTTTGCCTAAGTTTTCAATCTTAAATGCTTCTGTAGTTATTTGGGAGGAGAAAAACACCCGGTTTGACTGGGATCCGAACCCAGGACTCTTGCAAACCGAGCGACTGCTCTCCCAACTGAGCTACCGAGCCTGGGCCAACCCCGCCGGCCTCTTCACTTTGCAGGTGGGGCCTCATTTCACCCTGTGCTAGAAATTATCCAGGCCTGATGTGATGTCACTTACAAATTATGTATGTATGTGGTGCCAGTTGCTATATTGCCAGAATAAAAAGAGAAAAGTGTTATTTACTGTAGTAACTGGTTTGGGAACAGAAACAAAATGATAATGAATATTTACGGATGGTATGTTTCAAAGTGACGAAGGACCCACAGTTACCCCAGGACGTGGATATTCATAGCCAAGAGAACTCGTGAGGCAGGGTGTTATGAGGCCTTACCTGTGGAAAGTTCCTTGCATGTTAGGCCGAAAACTGAGGCAAGGTAACGGCACTGTAACTTCTATTGCAAAGTTACGGCAAAATTGACAGAGCTGGGGTAGCGCTAACACTCGCCAATTTAGCCAAATGTTAAAACTGGCCTTAATTGGCTAAAGAAAACGGGCTTGATTTGACTTGTTTTAGTCAAATTATAATCATTTTCATAACAAATTGACAAAAAAGTGGTGATTTGGCTAAGCGAAAAAAAATGCTAGCGCTACCCCAGCAGAGGCAACACCGCAATTCATCCACAAATTACCTTTCGCATCCTCTGTCGAAAATTCTTGAGCTGTAGCCATGACTGGATGGTAGCACTGTCTTGGCCAAGTTGATCAGTGACTCTTCTTTAAGTAATGTCACCAACTTTCGTATTTGTCTTGTACACAAAGACGGCAACATCAATAAACGGAAGTACAGATTTTTGGCAAGCTATAAAGTCAAATTGCTCTTGAATATAAAAGATCCTTCATGTCTCAATTTTACTATCCAATGCACAATATTCCCAGAAAAATAAGCTTTTAGATATATAAAACATGTTTCATTCAGTAGTAACCGTGTGTTCATCTTAATTTTTTTATTATGATTTTCACCTTTGTTTGACATTTTACGCGCGTTAGTACCACACTCCGCCATTTTTACCCACGAGGATGCCGTCGATAGATACAGAGTAAGATTCAAACTCTATTTTAGCGCTTGATAATTTAAATGTTGTGACACGTTACAAATTTTCACGTTAATGTTACATAATTCTTCATTTTTGTAATGTTTTAGCACGTCAATCAGCTGGGCTGACCAAGTAGAAGCCGGCGAAGAAGGTAAGTCACTTTTAATTTTTGCCATATGGCATGTCTTCATTTCTCTGTTTTGACCGGTTTGTTTAAG